AGTTTCGATTTATTGTTACCTTTGTCTCGATGAAATCGGCCCAAAATAAAGCTTGAGATCTCTCGTAAGGATCGGAAGGGAGGAATGGGTTCTTGTCGGACCAGACCTCATCGATGTAGTGGACGATGTTAATGGATTCACAAACCGGTTTATCATTGTGGATGAGAACCGGGATCGTCTTGTTAACCGGATTCATCTCAAGAAGCAAAGGACTCTTGTTATTGATCACATCTTCTTCTATATACTCATACTTCACTCCTTTCTCCTCCAAAGCAATCGTCGCCCTCATTCCGAATATGCTTGGCCAGAAATTCAAAAGAATCACCTCCGCCATTGTTACGATCCTTGAGGCTCACAGAGATGTATAGAATAGAATAGTATTTTGGTCAATAAGATCTTCACGGATATGTTAGGCATGTGACATATAAAGTTAAATTATCTTTATCATTATTGGTTTAATTAAAATTAATACAATCATATACTAGTATTATTGGTTGAATGTGGACAAAACTTCAACGTATAGTGGAGTCCCCACTCAAAGCCTCAAAGTGAGGAAACTGAGCAAACATTATTAATGCACAATCTTTTTTTTGGCCATTTCCATGCTTTATTATACTTTGCACTTTGCAGCTTTTATGTTAAACAAATCCTAATACTGAAATTGTCGTAATGAATTAGAGTGTGCTTAAACTACTAAAACTAGTTGAGAACCCAACTATTTTTCATAGTTGGAAAAAAGAAGGATTTGCTTTTGTTTTGTTTTTTGTTGTGCCACTACTTTGCATGATTGTAACGTGGCCACCTACTATATTAATACACGTTCCCTATTGAATAGTGCGTTACGTAATGACAAAGAAGTCCCAACATCTTTGATTTTATTTGTATTTTCTGTATTTTTGAAAGAGATGTTCCACCCAAATGGTTGTATTCTACTAAACCCCTTTGTGAATACGACTTCATATTTGAAAACAAATTTGATTTAAAAATCCGTATTTGAGATCCATACAAACCACCACACACACTCACTGATGCTCTCTCGCATTATTAGGGAAAAACATTTAAAAACAGAACACAACTTGCTCAGAAACCAAACGTCAAGAGAACAAGAAGATTTATTCAGATCCGAGATTATTCTTCCTAAACTCAGCAACGTATCCAACAATCTTCTCAGGGTCAGTGAGAGATTTAGAGACACTCTCTTTCTCCATACACCTTTTGCCCCAAGCGATCAGTTTAGGACACTCTGGTTCGATGCTGATGTTACCGTACTTCTCGTATGCTTGAAACCAAGAGTAGAATGCAATGAAGGATATGTCTACATAGCCAAAGCTATCTCCACCAAAGTAAGGTTTATCTCCAAGCTCAGATTCAAGAATCTTAAGTGCTTCAATAAACTCCTTCTTGCCTTCTTCTTGTTCCTCACCTTTCTTTCCCCAGATCTTGAATTGTGCTTCACTGACCTAAATCCATTCCACAAGCTTAAAAATGAGTTCTAAGAACAAAACCCTAAACTTGCCATGCATCACTCAAACTTTAACCCTAAAATTTGGGGAGTGAATTGTGTGAGCCTAGCAGTTACAAACTCAAATCAATTCTCAAATCGACATGTAACACTCAAACTTAACCAAACTCAATTATTGCAAATTTTTGAACTTAGGACTCAGATTAAGAAATCTAGGGCACAAAAGGGACTTGGTTTACCTTCTTGTCCACGAAATCAGCCCAGAATCTAGCATGAGCTCTCCCGTAAGGATCAGAAGGGAAGAATGGGTTCTTGTCGGACCAAACCTCGTCTACGTACTGAACAACGTTGAGAGATTCACAGACCGGTTTACCATTGTGGATCAGGACCGGAATCTTCTTGTGAACCGGATTACTCTGAAGAAGCAAAGGGCTCTTGTTCTTGAGATCCTCTTCTCTGTACTCAAACTCAACACCTTTCTCTCTCAATGCGACTCTCGCCCTCATACCGAACATACTCGGCAAGCAATCAAGAAGAATCGTCTGGTTCGCCATTGTTTTATTTTTGAATTGAATTTGTAATCACTTTAGGACACAAAGATATGTTTTTTTCTTGGTCTAGTGAACAAGTTAGTGTGTGTAGTGAAGAAGAAGGTGTGAGTAACGGTTCTTTTATAATGGAAAATGAAGATACAGAAAAAGGATTTGATTCCCGTTTAGTCACATCAACTTTTTCAAATATCATATGTATGGTCCACATATAAAGCTTGGGATACTCTTCCTTCCTATTATGTAGATTTTATCTTTATCTCTAATATGTATGTTTTTTTTTTTGAAACTTGCTAATATGTATGTTTGGTAAATATATCTTTAAAAATCGTAACATTCCAAATCTGTTGAAAGCCAGTTACTAACCAATAAAAACACCTGTAATCCATAGTCCATACCATTACTTGTTCATTCGATCAACTTTTTTTTCTTCAGTCGATTATCATTTTCTTCAATTTTACTATGTTGAACAAATGATATTACAACATATGAACATAATAGTTGCTGCAGCAACAAGGCACTTTTTACGTGACTACCTACTCAATTTGTTTGTACTGTTATATTTTAGTTAGATGGATGTACATTTCAACACGTGATATCGATACAAATATATTATCAAGTTATCATATACACACCGTAAAAATGTACACTAAATTCTCAATATACAAATATGTAGAAATGTAAAGATTGTAGGGTTGTAATTTTTGGAGATTCATATATGCGTATATGAGTTCTATCAATCCCATAAACTATATATAGATCCGATTGAAGTTACAAAATTCAATCCGCAATTCTAAAATAACAAATTAATCCAAGCCGCAAAACATCAAACCCGTTTGTTACGGAAAAAAAAAATCAATTTTGATCCGGTTTGTTGCGGGTTTGGTGTTTCGCGGGCTGGACTTGCATCAATCACACTAATTGAGCATTTTAAGCTCGTAACTGAGAACTTTTTTTGTTTGGAGTGATAAGCTTCGTTAGCTAGAAACAATCCTCATAGAGACGCACACAATTACAATTTCAAAGTTAAACTCACAAGAAACTCATAACATCATTAATTAAATCCGTACTTAAGATTCATACAAACTTGGGACAAATTCAAAAACCACATGAAACTGCC